TTGTTACTTTGTCGCAACCTGTTCATTCTGCAGTAAAGTTATTACAGTTGATTCATTATTATGGTTTGGTCTCGGGTTTTAAGATTAATGTTAATAAGACTAAAATTCTACCTAAAAATATGACTAGTCAGGAGAAGCAGACTTTGGCTAACTTGACGGGTTTTGAAATTGTTAATAAGGTAAAATATTTGGGGGTGATGTTATCTGTTTCTAATGCAAAATTATTTTAAAATAATTATGAAAGGTTGTGGGCTAGGGTACAGAATGACTTGAAGAATTGGGAGAAGTTGCAATTATCCCTCATGGGAAGAATTGCAGTGATAAAAATGAATATTCTACCCAAGTTTCTCTTTTTGTTTCAAATGTTACCGATTTTGAAGAATGAGATTAATTTAAGTGAATGGCAGAAAGGCCTTAATAAATTTATTTGGGCAGGGAAAAAGCCAAGGGTTAAGTTTAAAATTATGTAAGACTTCCGTGAGAGGGGTGGGCTCAAGGTACCGAAACTATATTATGATGCGGTGGTTTTAACACTAATTAGTGATTGGGTAAATTTGACAAATCCTGAGATACTTTATCTTGAGGGATGGGATTTACTTTTTGGGTGGCATGCCTATTTAATATTTAACAAAAAGATGGATTGGGTTTTTAAATCTCATATTTTAAGAATTTCTTTACTTAGGACTTGGAGAAAATATTATAAAAGTGATTTTAAAGTACCATTATGGGCTATACCTTGGCATGCGATAGAAGGAATAAAAAGAGGTGCTAAAATGGACATGGTGTCTTATAGACATTTACTTAGGTGGGATGGACAAAACTGGCAGTTAAAATCACGGGAAGAGTTAGCACAAGAAAATATTATTTACTCTTGGTTCCAATATAGGCAATTAGCAGATAGATGGAAGGTGGATTGCAAGGTGGGCCTTCTTAGAGAAGATGAAAATTTTATTAAGCAAGTGAAGGATCAAAGACAAGCCCACATTAAGAGAATTTATGGGGTTCTAGTTGAATTGGACTCAGAAACGGAACTAATTAAAGATTGTATGATTAGATGGGCGCAGAATTTTGGTGAGCCAGTTCCATTGGACACCTGGGAACTATTTGGGTGAGAAATGTCAAATTTACACAAGCACAGAATTTAAGGGAGAATTTCTATAAAATGGCACCTTGATCCACAAAAAATGTCTTTTATGTACCCTGACTTACAACCCAAATGTTGGAGATGTGGGTGTATGGATGCTACTTATTATCATATTTGGTGGTCGTGTAGAGAGATAAAAGCATTTTGGATTAAGATATGGTGGAATATCCAGAGAATTTTTAAAAGGAGGGTAAAATTTACTCCGCAATTATTTTTGTTGGGTATAGTTATTGATTGTGATACAAAGGAGGTTATATTGATGTTAAATTTGATTACAGCCGCGAGGCTGTTAGTTGGACAATATTGGAAGAAGGAATCTTTGCCTACATTGCAGGAATGGTTTCTTAAAGTGTCTCATTTGGCGGAAATGGCAAAGATTTCGGCTTTCTTAAAGCAACAAACGCAAGAGAAATTTCTTGCTGTTTGGGATAAATGGATAAAATTTATACAGTTTAAAATGGATATTAAAAATATTATATAGCTTTTTCTTAATTTTTATTTTTATATATATACATATATATTTTAAAATATAATTTTTCTGATTGTTTTTTAATTAAGCCTATATTCTGCTCTGGGAAGCTCGGGGGGGAGAAGGGGGGGTGTTTGGGGGAGGTTGGGGAAGGGAGGGTTTGTTGTGTAATGTTTAGTTTTTTCTTTGTATATGTTTTTTGTCTTTGTATTGTTTTGTTTTTTTCCCTTTTTTTTGTAAAACTTATAAAACTTTTAATAAAAAAAAAAGATATTCGGAAAATTGCTATTGATACATGTATGTATCATCCAGAGATTGGAAAGAATTAAAATCTATTTATAACTATTGTCAAGATGATTCTTTATAATCCTTATTTTCCTTTTCTTCTTTTCTATTCTCTTTTCTTTTTTTCACTATTTACTATTTTTATTGATTATTTTATTTTGTGGTTTTAGCTTTGTTAAGAATTTATTCAATAAAAATTAAAGTGTATACAGTATACTACATGTATTTTCTCCATAACTTTTACCCTGTTAATACAGCAAATATAGATGTGCATACACTACACAGAAGCATTTTAATCAGCGTGCAGCTAGGCTTTTATTGTTTATATGGTGCATTTTAATTATTTTGGTTTATAAAATATATTATGATTTTAATATTTTGAAAGTCATCCTGAGAGACTCAATGTTGAAAGGGGTATGTTTATCGAATTTCAAAGAAAAAAAATACATGAAAGACAAAATATACAAACATGTGAAAGTCAGCCTCATTAACACTGTAGGAATTGCTTCTGAATAAACATTTCTGCAATTGAACTGCAAACATTTTATTGTGCAGAGTTTTTATTTTCCTATGAATTTCAGGAATTCCTCCTATTGCCCGATTTTTTACGGTCTCTCTGACTTTTGAATTCACGCTGGAATTCACCTAAACATTTACTCCTTTCATGTTTTAAACTGTTTAGTCATTCACATATATTACTACATAGTTTCAGCAAAAAGCTCTGCATTTTATTACAATATTTTTTCAAGCCATAAATTATTTCTAGAGTAATTCAGCCTCATAGAATTTTCAGGGATTGTTGTAATGTTGATATCAACAATTTGTGGAAAAAACAATCAAAATATTATTCTGATGAATACTGCAAGTTTGTTTCAGCAGATGGCGGCATGTAACTTATTTTTCAGGGAAACAAGCAAAATTGGGCCTGGTTATTAAATATTAAACATTTCAGGGAGGTGGGGGACTGGGAATGTTTAAAAAAATCTAAAAAAAGTAGATTTTTAAGAACTAATAATTACTTTATAATGCCATTTTTGTTAATGGGTGTCATCATTCTGCAGAACGACGAATGTCCTCCCGTGAATGCATTTCATGTTGATATTCTTTATCAAAATGATAAATAAGGATTTATAGATTGTGAAGACTATATTTGAAGTCATCTGCAATGATCTGATTCACTGTTATCAGAGGAACAATTTGCAAAATTATTAATTTGAAATAATCTGTTGCCTTAGGATATGGTAATTATATTATACCTTCAGCATCTGTTTCCTCCTTCCACTTACTCGATACAGATAAAAAAAGGATAAGATATTCCATTTAATTGGAGTCATCTATAGGTGTGGGATACAGAATCAAAACCAAAAACTATTGCAGAAAAATATTCTTTTCTTTTTACCTTCCGTCACTTCCCTCCTCTTTAAAAAAAAATGGCTAAAGGAGGACGCTGATTTGTAGAAGTTAATTCATACCTATAGATTCAACTTTAGAAATAATGTTATCATAATTATTTGGACGAAGGGTTAGATGGGGAACTCATCAAATTTGCAGACGACACCAAACTGGCAGGAATAGCCAACACTCCAGAAGACAGGCTTAAGATACAGAAGGATCTGGACAGACTTGAACACTGGGCACTAACTAACAAAATGAAATTCAATGGTGAAAAAAGCAAGGTTCTACATTTAGGCAAGAAAAAACAAATGCACAAGTACAGCATAGGTGGCACCATGCTCAATAGTAGTAACTGTGAGAGGGACCTCGGAGTACTAGTAGACAATCACCTAAATATGAGCCACCAGTGTGCTGCAGCTGCCAAAAGGCCAACACAGTGCTAGGCTGCATTAACAGAGGGATAGAATCAAGATCACGTGAAGTATTAATACCACTCTTCAATGCCTTGGTAAGGCCACACTTGGAATACTGCATCCAGTTTTGGTCACCACGATGTAAAAAAGATGTTGAGACTCTAGAAAGAGTACAGAGAAGAGCAACAAAGATGATTAGGGGACTGGAGGCTAAAACATATAAGGAACGGTTGCTAGAATTGGGTATGTCTAGTTTAACGAAGAGAAGGACAAGGGGGGACATGATAGCAGTATTCCAATATCTCAGGGGCTGCCATAAAGAAGAGGGAATCGAGCTATTTTCCAAAGCACCTGAAGGCAGGACAAGAAGCAACAGGTGGAAACTAATGAAGGAGAGAAGCAACCTAGAACTAAGGAGAAACTTCCTGACAGTTAGAACAATTAATCAATGGAACAGCCTGCCTCCAGAAGCAGTAAATGCTCCAACACTGGAAGTTTTTAAGAAGAAACTGGACAGCCATTTGTCCAAAATGGTGTAGGGTTTCCTGCCTGAGCAGGGGGTTGGACTAGATAACCTCCAAGGTCCCTTCCAACTTTACTACTACTACTACTACTATTATTATTATTAAGTATTCAGAGTAGAAATGTCTTAACTATAATGGGAAATCTGTAACCAGATAACTCATGTTATTGGTTTTTCCACAAAAACAGGTAAAGGATGGCCATATAACAATGCATTAAATATGGGGTGATCTTCTGTAAAATGGAACAAACCTGCTTTTTTTCAAAAATAATGTAGCTACCTTGGCCCTTTGCAGTAAGGCTTTCATCTGGGTCGATATTTGCAAATGGAGCCAAGTATTTTAAAGAAATGCAGTGAATATCCGCTGAGCTTGCCTTCCGAAAGCAGCCTTACTTGTGCATGGCCCTTGTTTCAAGAAATTCCACACTCAGCAATTGGATGCTGATCATGTTCTGTTAGGAAAAGCTTTCCTTCAGAGATTTGCAAGGTTTACACAGTGTGGTGTGGTGTGCTTAGTTTTGATTTAACACAATGAGTGAATCCAATTATTGTGGCTTGTAAACGATTATGTATGGTTTTGTCAGTTGGCAGGACAGAACCCTCTACACAGTATTATTTTTATTTTCAGAGAACAAAAGGGGTCCATACACATCTGAACCAACAGATGGCGCTCTGGTGCAATGAAATAATAACAAAAAAAATGCACGCTGCTCAAAAGGGTGATTAAATAATCCTGAAAACAAAGCAAAAGAAAATGATTGAATTATTTACCTGGTGTTGCCACTTTTACAGCAACTGGCCGGGGGGATGCCGGAGTTTTTGCTGGCTCTTGAAATGAAAACAAATTAAAGCATTCGTAATAAGGCATGCCATAACAAAGATAAATAAATTAAATAAATAAAACAAATGGGGAAACAAAATAGGAAAAATATTGCCCTTAGTATTAATTAGAACATAATTAAAAGAAGTTGTTTCTTGGAATTCTATTACTGTAAGTCAAAAACAGGGGGAGAAACTGATTTGAAATCAAGTGATAATTAATGACATTAACAAATGTAGATTTTTGTATTATACTACTCAGCATCACAGTTTAATAGTCAACGGTCAATAGTTCACAAACCACACATCATTTGCATAAAAAGGCATAGCTGGAATAACATTCTCCCTGAAGGAAACTAAAGTCTCTCTACATTTGTGCCCTCTTCCTCCAGAATAAAACAAAATAGATTATTTTCAAACTGTAGCATAGATCATCAGCTCAGCTTTGATATGTACATGTACATATGCAACAATGAACAATCTGGCTTCTGCTTGGTCCATCTTTTATGATAAATGAGAATACCCATCCCCACTTCAGGTCAACAGGGCTACGTGTCATTGGAGTCAGTTCACAGCCTGTCTCTGTGCAAAACATGCCTGTTTGACAAGAAAATAATCAGACTGTAATGCAGAAGTTAAGTGCTACTTAACAATACTGGCAATACTGAACCATGATCATTTATGTCAGGGACATGATGGCTGCAGCATCCATCTTCCTAGGATGGAAGATGCCATGCTAAAGGATCAGAATTGTCCATCAAAGCACCTGCTACCCAATTGAAATCAGCAGCAAAAAACACACAATCAAATTTGTATTTTATCTTTTCTGTGTTGACCTTTTGCTCTGAGGTGGGGTGTGTGTGTCCTCAAGTGTTCGTATTTTTCACTTCTGATTATCCAGAGTGTTCCCTTTATTTATGCATCTACTTCCCAGGATCTTAATACTGCAATTGGAATACTTATAGCTGTGGAAGACATATGATTCCTCCTGATCAGAGGAGAATTGTTGTGATACAGAGTTGTATGCAGATTTTAATGGTGCTATAGAAGCACAATGAGAATAACATGGCTGCAACATGCTGCAAAAGATCTGAAATAACTGTAGCCATTTGTCTTTTTCTTTCTTTCTTCTGTATGTAGCCAGATGTCTTCCGCAATTCAGCGGAAGAATATAAGTAGTTCTCGATTTACAACCATTTGTTTATGGACTGTTCAAAGTTACAGTGGCAGTCAAAAATATTACTTATGACCAGTCTTACCACTTTTTTGTTTCATCGTCCCTACAGCCATATGATCATAATTTGGAGAGCTGGCAATTCTGGCTGTTGCAGCATGTGACCTTCCCAGCTGGCTTCCAACAAGCAAAATCCATGGCCAAAGCCGGATTTGCTTAATGACTGTGATCCACTTAACAACCATGGCAAAAAAGGTGATCAAAAGGGTGCAACTCCCTTAACAACTGTCTTGCTTAACAATGGAAATTATGTCCAGTAGGTCTACTCTAAGGACTTCCTACATATAGCTGAAAGCTCTTCAGCTTTCATTTTACAAGATGGCATGGGGCAATTTTAGGATCATATTTTACCTGGTTAAATAATGCAGGATTCTGGAATATCTTTATAGATTAGCCACTTGTTTCCTGCATCACTTTCTGAGAAACAGAAATGGCAAATGCTGCCAGGCTTGATGATTTGCATTTTTCATGCCAGGGACATTATTCAAGGACTAAAAGTCTTCAGACCTTATTTTATAGGAACTAGATACATGAAGTCCTCTATCCAGCTCATGGCCACTAAGAAATACTCAGGTGACATCCCAGTTGACATTTCAATCCCTATCTGCTTTTTCAAGATGTAATTTTTTTAAAAAAATGGGGAAGGGAAGAAATAACTGTCTATCACAAATGGGAACAGGGAACTGAAAATGCAGTGTGAATTGATTCAGAACAGAAGAAACTGCTAAGTCTAAACATGTCACTTTAAAATTATAAATGGTGTCACTCTTTCCATATTTGCATTTTCTTACAATTTCACAGCACAATTCTCTGCAGATCTACCCAGAAGTAAATCCCGTTGAGTAAATCCCTTTTACCCAAAGAAGAATGTATAAAATGATATAGTTCAATATGTATAATTCAATATATCAAAGCAAACACTAATAACAGTAAAAAAAAAGAAATAAGGGTAAGAACTTAATTAGAAAAATAAGACTCACTTTTTAGGTCTTTGATGGAAATGGCTTCCTTTGTGTCTGTAAGAATATATTATAAAAGGCAATAAGTGCACTGTTACTTATTAGCAGTTAGCTCTGCTAAATGCTCTCACAAATACACCACAAGCCATCCATTTATTTCATCATCACAGAAAATAAAAATATATTTCTCCAGGGAGATGCACCCTAAGTGTCAATATTGAATATTCTTGCTTTGACAATATATGCAGAACTGTCTGGTATTTTTTAGAGTTAAATCAGGTGACAGGGAAAGGGGAGGAGAATATAAGGAAAGCCCGGGAAAAAGAAACGGAAGTGAATCTTTGCCCTCCAAGTTAATTAGAAGATGTGAATCATGACCCCAAAATAGGGGAGGGGAAATGCCTGGAATGTTATGTGCAAAGGAAGGGAAATTCAGATCTTAGCATTTCCACCATGCCGTGCTGACATCTTTGTAATACTAATAAAGGCTTTTGAGGTTAAAAAAATGTCTGAAAGTTCTTTGAAGTGTTTCATTAATCAGACACATGACATCAAGCTTTCTAAACGATGGGTGTTCCAATGTTGGAATCTAATTGGAATGCCAGAATGCAATCCTGGGATGTGAAATAATTTATTCATTTATTGATCCTGCCTTTATTATTTTATAAATAACTCAAGGCAACGAATATACCTAATATTCCTTCTTCTTCCTATTGTCCTCACAATAACAATCCTGCAAGGTGGGTTGCGTTGAGAGGGGCTGGCCTGAGGTCACCTAGTCAGGTTTCATGCCTAGAACTCACAGTCTCCTGGTTTCTATCCTGGTGAGTTAACCAACCTGACTCTCGATAAAAACTTTACTTTGAAGTATTTGCAATTTTTCCCTACCGGGGTAATAAAAGCCAATGACAGCTCTTTCAGACAACACACCTTCCAGCAGTTTTCAAAGCCAGCTTCCATTTAGATATGCATTTTCCCACGAAACTGTTTTCTTTTACTTGAATGAAGCTTATCTCTTTGGGATCCCTCACTCTGATTTCTGCTCTTTAGGACTCTTGTGCTATTTTTGTAAGACCCCTTTCTTTTGTCTGAGGTAATAGAAACCTAGCAGTTTCCAGAAGAAACTCATGCATTATTAGGTATATGTATATTGTCTTTTGCTCTAAAACAGGGATCCCCAATCCCCGGTCCATGGACCAGCACCGGGTCACAGCATGCCAGAAACTAGTCTGCACAAACAAACAAGGCCCCATCCTCAGGATGCAGGCAGTACACAAAACCACGCCACTTCCGATCCGCAGAAAAACCTCTCTCCACGGAACCTAGTGTTCAAAAGGTTGGGGCCCTCTGCTCTAAAAAAAAAAAGTTTGTGGATTAATCTTCTGCCTCTATCCACCTGTTTTCCAGAAATCACTTCAAATCCAGCTAATTACCACTAAGATGAAATTAATCAGAAAGCTCTTTTCGGTCATGGAGGTCTATTGAAGCATTCATAAATGCTTTATGGTTGCCAGGTATGGAAATTTTAAAAATGTCCTTTTTAGTTGATATGAATCATTTATCACAATTATCTGCTATTACTAGAAGCTATAAAACCCAAACTCATTGGCAACATTATGTTCAACAGAAGATGTGATCTACAACATTCTCAATTACAAAAGTTCTGATACATTGGGATATTTCTTTATGTTTTAGATAAGAATGTTTTTTTTTACTCAAATAGCTTTCTCAGAGAGAAGATTCATCCAATTCTGTTTCAAGGGTAGCTTGTTTTTCAAACATTCTGATGTTTAAGGATTATCATATGAGAAACTGATTTGTGTGTATTTATTTTCACCTAGCAATATATAAAAAAGTTTAAAACAAGAAACAAAACTCCAGTGAAGAATTAGGAAGAATCACGCTGTTTTTCTCCTATTCCCTTTTACTATTCATTCATAGTTACGCCTTGATATTTGTTTCACTATGTGATTAGTTCCTTATTCAAAATGCACAGCAATTCTTCCACCAGTTTTCTGCTAAGGCCCATAATGAAAGACACTTGGGAACCTCAAAATGTGGGTCATGACTCCATTAATATACTTCAGGCAAATGTGGAGTGATTCTGATGCTGCTTCCACTATGCATGAACAATCTTCACAATCATAAAACTGGAGCATTATCAAACCACAGTGACTTTGCCCAGGGAAAATAGGGGTCCAGAGCAAGTTTTCAGATTATCCTCAGTTTGCTTATGAAATCAAGCAATCTTCTCTATTATGGATAATGATAAAGTATTATTCCCTATATTGAACGTCACTGATTAACATAATACATAGACACAGCACAAACAATACTGAACCAGTTTTGCAAACCTCGGTGGGATTCAGAGGACTGTGTGCTGGGTTTGTGAATAATTGCAGAAATGATTTTTTAAATATGCAAGGCATATGTTTTCAAAAAGGAAGGCTATGCTTTTCTGGACTACAGATGGTCATTAAGGGAAAAACAAGGTCATTTTTATAAATCCACCAAATGGAACATTTTTGGTAATAAACAAAAGGTAGCTATCAGCAAAAAGTAAGGACAATCGGCTTTTTTCCCCACAAAATAAGGTAAATATGTCTTAGGAGTCTTAAATATGGAGTCAGTGTTGATAGAATGTGAAAATCCTGAGAAAAAATGATGACTGCAGCTGAACAAATAGTTTTCTCCATACCTATATAAGGGACCCCATCATCAATGATAGATATAATTTTGATGACCAGCTGTTTATATTATAGGGCAATCTTCCCGAACTTCCATAACTAGGAATTTGGAAACCTGTAGTCTCAACACATCTGGGCTGGAGTGTCTGGTCATCTAGGCCAGAAGTCTCCAACCTCCAGTTTGTAGACTGGCATTGGTCTCTGGCATGCCAGGTGCAAACAAGCAAAGCCCCATCCATGGGATGCAGACAGCACATGAAACCACGCCCCCTCCGCCCCCGCAAAAACGTCTCTACATGGAATCAGTCTCTGGTGCCCAAAGACTTGGGCGCCACTGATTTAGATAACCAGGCGTGCTAGAATTCAAAAATTATTACACAATATTTTTCAATGGATGGGCAGAAGGGAAAGAATTCAAAATAGTTTACCCATATATGAATCTGTACTTGAGACACATCATACAATCTATATAAGTTTACTTAATTTAAGATTGATTTCATGGAAGGATAGTTTGCTCAAAACAATGTTTGCTCATAAAAAGAGTCTCACCGCATTCAGAGGACATATGAGCAATTTGATTTATTTTAGTTGACAACTCACTTGATAAATATAAGCTAACCATGATATTTCCAGTTCTCTATTCAACATCTAAAGACCAAGGTTTCCAGTTACATAGATGTAGAAAACTAACATAAGCACATAGACTTTGGGGCTTCCAAGAAACTAAATAAGCAGAAGGTTTCTAGATACAGTACGTTAGCCTTATGTGTGAAATCATTGATACATTAATGGGGGCTTTTAAACCAATACATCATGCATGGATGATACTTAATGTTCCATTTGCTGCCCCTAGCAAAATGTTCCAATGTGTTAAAATAAAAGCTGCAGCAGGTGGCATAAGCTCTCTAAAAAACAGCTTTTCACTGGAGTATTTTGAGCAATGAAAGACGATTCTTAACACATCCTGGTGTCAGAAAGTATGGGCATCAGATGTCAAGTACTAGGTAACTGCGTTACTCCTACTCAACGAATTAATAACCTGGTAATTATCTAACCAAAGCCAGGAATGAATTAAAATTAAATCCATTCTATCATATTTTCAAAGCACCTCTGATTGCCACAAATCAAAATTCACACACCAAGAGTCTTTGGGCTCCTGTGAAACAGCCATTTCCAAATGGAACCAACCAGATGTGTTGAATTATAATGATTATTAGGACAATTTTTATTAGTAGATACAGGAATCAAAGGAAAACTAAGATACAATAGGATTTTGAATGTGTATCTGTTTAGATAGATATTAACAATTAAAACTAGACATTTGAAGTGACATTCAATCAGTCATTGTTTATTAAAGGCTTCTAAAATGAAAGGCTCTATAGTTCCCCAACCAAGCACATCAACCCATACTCTCCAGGTATGATGGAAATGGTAGTCAAAATGTGCTACACCAGCTACAGAGAAACAGTTTACAATATTAGCTTTCCTTGCTCACTACTATAGCATCAGAATGTAAAATAGAGCTTATTGCAAGTCCTTGAAAAAGTAAGTAAGGAAAAAAGTATGGAAGAAAGGAAGAAAGAAGGTACAAGGACAAATCATGCAGTAGAAAGATCGGTTGGAAGTGGGAGAAATTTCTAATGTGATTTACCAGATTCCCTGCATGGATTACCCTTGTCACTATGTAAAACAGATAGGGAGGAAGCTAACCACCACATTACTTGAACACCAGCAAATGGTTAGAATAGGAAACCAGAACTCATTGGTAGCCTTGCACTGCAATAAACAAGGACATGCATTCAATTTTTCAGCTACTAAGATTGTTGGCTGAGCAGAGACAAAAACAGCCAGAGAAACGATTGAAGCCTAGGAAACTGTACCCTCGTCAGTCAACAGCTTACCAGGTACTTAGGAGCCAAGGGTATGGCAGCACAAGGAATCAACAATCAATGTCTTACTAGTCGGCCATCAACATCCCAATGTACAATTCACAAGCCACACACAAACAGACACCACATACTAGAACAGCCCAGTGTACACATCCTGGAGATTGAGAAGTTGCCTCAGGGTGGACTGCCCATGAGTTTGAAAGCTTGGAAGAACAAACCTCTGGTTCTGTTGACTGACTCAATTTGGATCCTGCTGTAAGGCTACACTTACTGTATCTGTCTCATTCTGAGACACATCTGTTAGAGAATTTGTAATATTGGTGCTAGCATCTCTTAAAAAATTTACCCCTTACATCAATTTCTTTTAAAAACATAGTTTATTTAACTCTTGCACTTATACTTTCACTTAGTTGGTCACACATACCCGTGCACACACACTAAGAGGGAGATTCCCATTACTTCTGAGTATTGCACACACACC